GCTCTCTACACCGCAGCCTGGAAACTTTAGAATTTTTCCCAATTTTTTTTTTCTGCTTTAACACATTGAGGTACAGACACTCCCATCAGCTGGGATATCGCAGATTGGTTTCTAACCTCTGAATATCAAATTGTCAGATGTCATGTTTCCAAAGCCAGTGCTGCCCATGCGCTGCCTGCTTTGTGAGCCAGGAGAGGTGAGTCTTCTGGGGGCAGTGGCAGCCCTGCAGGGGACACAGGGCTCAGGGAGCAGATTGCAGGCTGGCTTACAGCCCCAACTATCCCTCAGATGGAGGCCCTCCTGCAAGTGAAGTTACACAACCAAGGCAGGGTCCCGCCTGCTTCCCTCCCTCTCATTCAGCCCCAGCCCCTGCAGGGCTGAACTGATTCCCACCTGCAAAGCTGGCCTTCATCCTGAATCAGGCTCTGTCTATGGACCTTGGGCTGACTCAGCACCACAGCGTTCCAGGTCTCAGAACTGGGCTCCTGACCATGGTCTCAGGTTAGCTCCCTCGCTATTTTAACCAGGTTTGACCAGTTACCATATCTGAATCTTCAACTCTACATAGGATTGGGGTGCTGTTAACCACGGATGAATCTCTTGCTGATGCCAGCCTTCCTGCCTGAAGGAACTGCTGCCCTGCCCTGGATCCTGTGATGCCAAGGTACCTGTTTAGAAATCCTTATATTCATCTCACAACTAGACCACCTGGACTGCAGACCTTTTTTGCCATGAACCTTAGGCATGTGCTTTGTCTCCCAGAACAAGCCTACTTGCTACCAAGCCTACTTGCTACAGAGGCATTTGCTGGAGACACAGTTGCTGAGCTACTTCTGGGAACTAACCCCTGCCCACATGCCCCCTGGGACCCATCAGTCCAGGTTCGGCACAGACTCAGACCTACCTCCTGGGCCCTCTTTACCTTCATGGATAGTAACAACTGATACTCAGAGGGGTGACCTGAAGCACTGCAGATTTCATCAGAAACAAATAAAAATGTTGCTTTAGTTCATGTCTTACTTATTAGTGCAGAAAGTAGAAGGAATACTGTTAGAAAGAATATCAACCATAAAGGTTGAAATAAGATGCTTTGATAAAATGCTCACTTAGAAAAGCATGGTCATGGAATTATAAGCACAAAAAGCCGAGGGCTGTGCTCTTTACTGTAACCACACCAAATCTAGAGCCCAAGCCAAAACAGGTGCTCAGGTAATACTTGCTGAGTGAATGAATGAACTTAACTCAGACTAAACACAGTGTTTGCTCATGCAAGTTCTCATTAGTTTATGTTGTCACTCTTTCATCACACATATTGTTAGTCATGTACTGTTTTTTAGTCATTTTGAAGTTTATAATCTTAATACATCAGAATAGAAGATAATAAAAATAAACACACAATAAACATAATAAACATTCAGGACACAGTGGTCAATGTTGTGGGTCTTACTAGGAAATGTGAGTGAAACATATGTGCCTGCATATGAAATCCTGGCCAGATAGTAATGCATAGATAGAAATATAGTTTACTTTTGGCAATGATAAAGGGTCTTTCTATGACTTGGATACACATGGGACTAAACATAATAACGCTTTATATTGGCAGAATACTTGACAATTTACAAAATGCTCAAACATATGAAATCATATTTGTTGTTCAAAAGAAGATAGAGGAATATAGTTGAAGAAAATTATAGGAATCCTCTAAGAAAATATCTAGTGGCTTATGAAATACAACAGCTTTCAAAGAGATTTCTGCTTTATGCTTAACAGTAATGATTCAACTGATAGCAGAGGAAGAGGTAGGAAAGGTTCTCTCTATAATAAAGAAAAATGGAAAGGAAAGAGGCCATAACGACAACTCCCATTTACTGTGATGAAGACAGACTTCTATTATTCAGCCTGGGACAGTCATACAATACAGCTATAAGTAATGAGATGCTGAAGTGAGTAATGAGACTCAGGCTCTGAACGTCTAGTTTCAGCTCACCGAGGAGGAATCATGACCATGCCTACCATTTCCATTGCACTATATTCATTGTAGTGCACATCAAAGCAGCTCTAACTCTGGGAACCCAGAGAAACTATTGGGAAGAATTCAAGAGGCAAACTGGGGGGTGCAAATTCCAAGTGAGTTCTCAGCCAGCCCAGTGTCCTTTCTTGCAACCAATCAAATTTTACCTATTTTTGTTGTTGTTCAGAATTCAATGTAAAGTCTGGGAGGTCTTTTCTTCTACACACACACTTAGGCAATAATCTGGAAAGATCTCTGCACTTTATTTTTGATAACTATTTTGTACCAAGCAGCAGGGAGAAGAATGACCAATTGTGAGTAACTCTAGTCAGATTTTAAAAATAATTCAGCCTTATCATTTAAGTAGAGAGAAACTAGAGCTACAAAAAGTGTTCGAAAAATAGGTGGAAGAAAAGTCCATCAGTGTTTGGAATGAACTAGACTGAGGACTACTCAAATTCTGCCAGGCTGGCGTGGCTCAGTGGTTGCGCATCGACCTATGAACAGAAGGTCATGGAGGGTCGTGCAGGAGAGAATGATGATTCTCTCTCATCATTGATCTCTCTCTCTCTCTCTCCCTCTCCCTTCCTCTCTCAAATAAACAAAAATATTTTAAAAAAATTACAGGAACTTGAACTAGCAGATTTCTAGCTGTCAAAATTGAAAGAAAATCTGCAGGGGTCAAAATCTCTACTAATAAAAGGGTAATATGCTAATTAGACCAGGTAGACCAGATGTCTTCCAGACATCCTTCCCTATAAAGCCACATTGGCGGGGGCTGAGGCAGAGGCAATCAGGCAGAGTGGTTAGGGGCAATCAGGCAGGAAGGCAGGTGAGCAGTTATGAGCCAGCAGGATGGGGCCTAAACTGGCAGTTAGACATCCCTTGAGGGGTTCTAGATTGGAGAGGGTGCAGGCTGGGCTGAGGGACCCCTGACCCCTGTGCACAAATTTTGTGCACCAGGCCTCTAGTGTTGGAAATAAGAATGTAGTCAGACACATTGCTGGTGTGAACTTCAGTTGACTTAAAACACCAAAATAGTCCCATGGTCTGTCTGAGAGAAACTTGCTTTCCCAGCAGCCCCTTTGGCTTGCAAGAAATTTCTATTACATTTTCCTAATAGGGATCATGCTTCCACTGAAATGACAGTCCTGTTCAAATTGCATGGAGCACCGAACTTCCACACTTTCTGATCACTGGTTTCCACACTTGGAAATGCTTGTGCTACTGTTTTAGAACCAGCGGCCCTGTTTTGCAGAGTCTGTGCTCCACCTGTTACCAAGTCACCTGTTTCCAAGTCACCTGTTTGGAGTTTGTAGCGTGCATTGCTATTGAAACCAATCTCCGTGGAATTGGGGGCTCCTAAAGCAGGCCAGATCATCACATGGCACCTGATGTACCTACTGTGTGCACTGTAGAAATATGGGACATTGGGTAATGCATTTAAAATACCTTTTCTTTAATCATCCTAATGTGGGATGTCTGGAATGTGGTTCTAATCTCAGGGCCAGGAACTCCACGTCTTTGTACCTTACAGGTTTACCAGTCCCCTAGCACCAGGGACACAGCAAGTGTCAGGAATGGGGTTGTAAGCTCCCAGAAGCATGCCCCATCCAAGGAGCTCTCAGCCCATCCTGCTCAGGGTTTGCACCTGAGGAGGATCTTCACAATGCAGATTGCTCACCTGAGGTGGAGATTACCCACAGGTTTGCTCTAATTGCCTCCTCCGCCCTCTGTATTCCGGGAAAGGAGGAAGAAGTAAAATTGTCCTTTACGTTGGGGAGTTAGAAGGAAGGTAGAAATTTGTGGGCTGCATCCTCGAGAATAAAAGCAGGGTTTGTAGTTACTGTCTCAAAATAGAGACAGGCTGTAGAGTACAGGATGCCGCACTCTCCCTGGATTTAAAGATGTGATCATCGCTCTTGTGTTCCTTTCAGTGAATAGCAGTACAATCCTTAAAATAAAAAGTCCCTGTGTCTTCTGGGCAGACCGCAGAGACAGGGTGAGTGGAGGAGGCCGCACATTTCCTCTCTGCATGTGCCAGTGGGTTCTAAGAGGCGTGCCCTGTAAGAAGGCCTCAGAGAGAGGACATCTCACTGGGCCCAGCGGCCTGGGTCTAACTACCGTGTTTCCCCGAAAATAAGACATCCTCCGAAAATAAGACCTAGCGCAACTAATTAATATAAGACACTGTCTTATTTTCGAGGAAACAGGGTAGCAACTCATTAGACAGGGAAGTTCTCAGGCCCCACCCTAACCCAGCTGACTCCGAAATTCTGGGAGTGAGGCCCCACCATCTATGCCAGATTCTTCGGTCAGTGAGCCCTCCAGGCGATTCCAATGGCCGAGATCTAGTGAGGACCACGGGGCAGTGGGCAAGGACTCTAACCCCGGCTCTGCCACTGTCCAGGTCAGGGAGTTGGGCAGGTTAACCTCAGCAACCCTGTGAGGCAGGTATTGTCAGTTTATTTTACAGACGAGGAGACTGAGGTACACAGACCTCAATAACCCAACCAAATTCCCAAATTCCCACGGCTGAAAAGTGGTTTAGGGCCTGAGCTGGGACTGAGCTATTAATTTCATTTAATTGATGCGCAAAAAAAGGGGGGGGGGGGCGCAGTCCTTTACTCATCCATCCAATATTCACTTAATATGCACGGCGGGTGATACACTGGGAGGCGAGGGACGTGGAAACGAATAGCGATCTCCTTCCCCTCCTCAGGAGCTCCATGACTTGTCTCTCGGTTCAGAACGAAGCGGTGCCAGATGCCGTGAGTCTGCGCTGGAGGCTGAAACGATTCCCCTGATTCCTCCGCTCAACGGCCACGGCCAGGCTCCGCCGCCGGCTGCTTCCGGGACCTGCGCGCCGGCGGGGCGGAGGGAGGGGACCGGCATCCGGGTTGCACCGGCGGCGCGGAACCTTCCTCCCGCCTGTCGCTTCCCCCCGGGCCCGCTGGTGGGCGGACCGGGGCGGAGGCCTCACCCAAACATGGAGCCTCCGCGCCCCGAGGCCGAGCGGCGGCCCCCCGGGCTGGAGGCGCCGGGACCCGCCGCCGACCGGCTTTTCCTGGTCAAAGGTGCGGGGCGCGGGCGACGGGGACGCCCCCGCCGCAGGGGCCGCCGGGGCCGCAGGGGACGCCGGGGCCGCAGGGGCCGGGGCCGCGGAGGGGCGGCAGCAGCTGCTCCTGGGCGCACCGTGCGCCCTGCCGCCGCAGTTCCCCTGGGCCTTCCCTTTCCAATTCCTTTTCTGATCCCTAGAACTCACAGCCTTTCCTTTTCGTTACAGTCACGGGGTGGTGCTGGACAACAGAATTCCATGTTCTCATAGACATTTCTAACAGCACACGATCTGCATGTGCTCCCCTCCCCGCTTCCCCGGGAACCACCTCTCCGTCGTCCGTGTGTGTGTGTGTGTGTGTGTGTGTGTGTGTGTCTTGTTTGTTCATGGTGCATTCCGTTCTGTGCCCACGTATGAATGAATCATAAGCTCCTGGGCTTGTCTGCTTGACTTAGGTCACTCAGCCCGCGGCTCTCAAGGTGGGTTTGTCCCCGCCCCGGTCCCTGCGCCCATTCTCTGCTCTGGGAAATGCCAGAATGACCGCAGAGGTCATGCGGTCAGCAGGTTTCACACCTCTACAGTTTACCTGCGGCCGGAGCTCCTTGCCCATTGTTTCTGGAATTTCAAAAGTGATTTTGAATGTAATGTCATTAGACCTGAAACTTATCTGTGATCATCTTTTTAACTTCCGGTTTTTTTTTCATCCTCTCTTTACTCTCTCCCTCTCCTCCATGCCCTACCCCAAAACTCTTGGCAGGCGGGCTTTTCCTAGGTACTGTCGCCGCTGCCGGAATGCTGGCTGGATTCGTTACAACATTGTCACTGGCTAAAAAGAGAAGCCCTGAATGGTTCAATAAGGTTTGTGACCCTGAAATCCATTCACAGTATTGTTATTGTTCACAAGTAAACGGCAGCTCTTTTGCATGAGAAAAATAAAGAAAATATCTGTGACTGCTCATAATGCTTTTAGAAGTAAATCTGTGTACACCTCATAGCTTCAAGAAATGCAACATTCTTTTATTCATTTAAAAGGGGCACTTAAATATGTGCTTTCTTCACTTTTTGGCAGAACAAGATTTTGAAAACTCATCCAGTACCTTTTCTATTCACAATATGACTTTAGATCTAAATCTAGGTAATTCACTACCGATTGTGAGCGGCCAATGTTTTATGTGTCACTAAGAAAGAAAAAGTTATGTCAGTTAAACTCTTGACATAATACCAATTGCAAGAGGCATTTCTATCTCTGAGATGTTAAAATGTTAAAATAAAGTGCATCTTAGCATTGATGGAAAACATGTCAGCTGCTTGAACTGAGAGATCATAGGTGCTGTGCATTGCTGCAGCCCTCTTCTCTGGAAAAGGCCTGGCACACAGCAGGCGCTCAGGAAGTGTTGGTGAATGACTGCAACATGCTTAAGGAAGAAAACCCCTACTCCAAGGGCAAGATTGACCAATCACTGTTGTGGTCATGTGTAGCTCATTCACCTAGTTGATGAGAGATTCACATTTGCTTATAGTTTCTTGTTCTTATGTGCTGCCCTGTCTCTGCCCTCCCCTGGTTTATTTATCTAGTACTTTATTGCTTCAACACATGCAACTTGGGCCCTTTCAAGTGGCAAGCACAGTGTGACCTAGCTAAAGAGATACAAAAATGAAGAAAACATCTGCCCTTCTGGGAGAGGGAAAGGGAGGGGGAGGGGGAGGGGGAGGGGGAGAGGGAGAGGGAGAGGGAGGGAAAGAGGAGGGGGGAGAGATTAAACAAATATTCACAACTTGTTTGTTTTAGAAGAACATTGCTACGTAAAAAGTCATAGACCAGTTGAACTCCTTTCCACTTCTGTGCATCTGTAATAACCTAATAACCATACTTAAGTCTTATGAATAGTATAATGCAAGGACCACATTAAAGTGCATCTGGATCCCCTTCTGATGCTCAGAGCTTATATGGGACTTCCCAGATTACTCCTATGAAGCTCATGGTTGTATCTGCCTGTATGACAGAATATTTTCAGAGTGGAACTATATCTTGTGGCAGAAATTAGTAAAACCTAACTGATAGTGGTGCTTTCATAGTGGAGTTTGGATTGATTTCTAAGAATAATTTATCTTACAATCCATTTCTGAGGCTGAAAGGGCATGTACTATTACTTTTTTAAATCTTAAAGTTTGACAAAATTAAAATTTTATTGGGAATATTACTATGCCACTAAGGGTTCTTTTTATGAGCAATTACCTTTTAAATTTATTAAAACAAATGTGTGTTTATGTAGACTTTTAAAAATATATGTATATAATACATATATAATTTCTGTCTTTCCCAGGAAAAGAAAAAATTTTAAATTTCTGAATTAAAATTTAGGCTATTTTGAATCACTTATTTATCTATTTTTATGCCAGACTCCACTGTAATAACATTTGGTTAGTGGCACTGCTTCCAGATAAAAATTCAGGCCAGTTAGAACCTGTGCATTTATGTGGGCTCTAGGGAACCATGCTGAGATTACAGCAACATGAGAAAGGAGGGTGGTGAGAGCAGATTGTTTTTATCATAGGGAATGGCTAAAGAAAATTTGAAAATTTTGTTGGGTCTAAGCACATCCACAAAAAGTGTAAGTTAGCAAATATTGAATATCTACAGAGTCTAGGCACGTACACATGCCTAGCATAAGCATAATTCCTGTGTGCTGTCAGTAATACTCACAATCACAAAATACATGTGTAGAAAAACCTGTATTAAGAAATGGTGTTGAGCAATATCAAGAAAATTATTTTTTAAAAGAAAAGACAAATTAATGGAAATACATTTCCAGGTGGAGGATACGATGTTACAAATTTGCTATTGTTTACCAGATTAGCTAATTAGCTTGAAAATTAGCTAATGAAAGTGCCAATGAATGAGCATTTTCTTCACTTGTTTGGGGATAGGATAAAGAAATCTTAATAGAATGTTCTAGGATTTTTCTGGAAGAATTAATAGGCAAAAGCAGCAATGGACTTTTTGAAAAAAGTAATGAGTATGATGTACTTTCTGAGTACATGGGCATTATTGTATTATTTAATATTTTTATTCTATAATTAAATCTGTGTGATTCTGGCATAAAAATAGATAATAAATTAGTGGTACAAAGATAGCTTAGAAATAATCCTAAGAGATTCTCTTATAAGTTGGGAGGAGAAGGATTAATCAACAGAGTGGGACAGTTGCTAAGGTTTGAGGAAGTAAACTCCCTGAGTCATCAGCTTCCATCAAAACCAAAATAGATACCAGATGAACTTAAAAGTGGTGAAAAGAAGAGATAATTTAAAAATAAAGCTAACAGAAAAGAGAAATGACTGTAACGTTAGGAAGGGGAAGTTTTGGTAAGCCTCAAAGCATCAGAATGCATCTTTGACCAAAAACAAAAATACAAGGAATGAAAAGTAAACCAAACGGGGAAAATAGAATAGCACATAGGATGGGTATAAGGGCTGAAGAACATTAATATATAAAGAGAATATACAAATAAGAAAGCTTTGTGGGCAAATAAAATGAATAACTTGGGGAAATGTTCATTCTCATGGACATCGGAATGTAAGTTATAGTTTCATATACATTTTTTAAAAATTTCTTTTGGGGTATTTTTGTGTGTGTATGCTTTTTTTAACATTAATTTCGGACACTCCCCAAATATTTATTCTTTGTGGACTGTTGATTTTGACCCCAGCCTTCCTGTCCTCATTGCAGGGAAGCGTGGCCAGCGCTGCGCTGCCGGAGAGCGGGTCTTCGCTGGCCTTGCGAGCCCTGGGCTGGGGCTCCCTGTGTGCGTGGTGCGGGGTTGGTGTGATCAGCTTCGCCGTCTGGAAAGCTTTGGGAGTTCACAGTGTAAGTAGCCACAGTCCCTAACTGCTGTCTGGAATGTTTATTTTACGTCCTGCAGTCCACATCTTCCCAATTCACAAATTTGTAGTTTGGCCACTGTCTTAGGAAGTGAAGAAATAGAAGGTGATTGAATTCTTACTAATGATGAGGCAACTTCTCATTACTAGTAAATGATGTAAGTAATTTAAATATCTGAGGGCGGTGAGACTTCAAATGTAATTAAGTAATGACTAATCCATAGCAAATGTTCATTCTATATAAATTGGTACTAGCTGTTTGTTCAGTGAAATTATTTAACTTGGAACAACTTTCTATGCTGTTTGACATCCTTATATATAAATATTCTCCTAAAATAGTTAAAACATTGTAAAATTATTTCAATTATTAATGCACTTAAATATTATGAGAGAAAATCTGAAAAACCTCTGTTTATATATTGTGTGTGTGTCATTTAGACTCCAAGCTGTGAAGCCATATATTCAGAGTGATTGTCTTACTCAACTACCAGGAAGTCCTGTGGACCACGCTGTCCGAGACAGGCGGGAATGAGAGTGGTGTGGGGCAGGTGGCTGCAGTGGAGTTGATGCAAATAGGTTCTGGATATATTTCAAAGGAAGAGTCAATATGGATTTGTTACGGATTGAGTGAGAAAGGTGAGAGAAAAAGTGAAGTCAAGGATGTCGCCAAACCTTTTGGCCTGAGGAACTGGAAGATGGATAGGGATCAGTGTGACAGGAGCAGATGCTGTTGGGATTAAGTGAGGAGCTCAGTCTGGGACTTGTCAATGTGAGATGTGATAGCCAAGTAGAAAGTCAAGTAAGCAGTTAGACAAAAAGACTAGAATTCAGGGGAGAGGTGCAAGGTGAAACAGAAATGTGAGACTCATCAATCTCAAATAGGAATCTTAAATGGATGGTATTTAAAGCTACAAGACCGGATGACCTCACTATGGCAGTGAGTGTGGAGAGGTCCCCAGAAGGAACTCTTGGGCAGGCCCACGGCGTAGAGGTTGGGGAATGAGGAAAGGAGCAAATGAGATTTCCCCAGCGAAGAGGAAGGAAAACCAGAGAATGGTGGCTTGGATGCTGGGTGAAGATCACTTTTCAAGGGAGTCTAAGCTGGGGATAAGGTCACTCAGTCAGCATATGGCAGTCGTGATGAGTAAAGTCTGAGTGGGGTGGAACGAAGAGCATGGAGGAGAGAGATTGGAGGCAGAACATATGAGCAAGTCTTGAGTTTTGCTGTAAGGGAAGAAAGTGGGGTCACAGTTGGAAGGGAGAGTTGGCGAAAAGAGAGTTTGTGTTTATTTTTAAGTTGGGAGAATTAACAGCATGTCTGCATGCTGATGGGAGTGATTCAGTGAGAGGGGCATGGGAGGGGAGAATTGCTGGAGTAATATGTAGTAGTAGTAATAGTACTGGCATTATTGAGTTTTTCACATTTGGCTTAATAATAACTAAACATGGCATCATTGTATTTTTCACTCAAAATATACCAGTAGACAAAGAGATGTTGCTTTTCTCCTTATTTGACTAACCTTTATTTTTAAGGTAACTGTGCTGGCAAACTTTCATAGACCAACAAAATTAGGTTATTTAAATTAGATTGTTGCTTGAGAACTTGGGCTTTATGGGCTTGACTGTGCTATTTTACTGTCTAGAATGAGAACTTCTTTGTCGTAAGGGACCGATAAGAGAATTATTGCCTAAATTAAATATTTTGGGGAGAAATTTCTAATTGGCACTATTGAATCTAAGGGTACTTGGAATCCTTTTATATTGCATCTTAACGTCTTTAACTAAAGAGAGACTGTGAGGACACACCCTCCCTCCATGCTAGCCATTGGGCATAGCCGTTTGATTTTTACTACTGAAAAGTCTCACAGAAAAGTGAGCCACTGGTACTTTGCCAAGGGTACATCTTTTGAAAGCAGCAGTGCATATTGATTAGTTCATTCAGAATACCTTTGTGTGCTGAGACAGGGCTCCCCAATACACTGATTATGGACAGTTCAGGCTTTAAAACTTTCTACACCAATTCTTATCAGATGGCTCTGCTCTGAGGCTGGTGGAGCATGAATGGGCATTTTGAGAGTTTTCATGAGAACTGTGAGGCTGCTCACAAAAAAGTCCGTTGATGAACTTTTCCACTATTTACTGTCTCTTATTGGGAAATACCATCTTTCTATGACCAAGGAAAACAGGCTGTGCACTCAGTAAGTAACTGAGATAATTGCTCTAGATCAGAGTCAATTCCAGTGTCAAATACTTGTTGGTAGCTGCCTTCAGCTGTATTAAATCTCCACTACAAACTCCATTTTTAGAAAAGGGGTGCCATCTAATGGCTGACTCAGAGCAGCTTACATTCCCTATTTAAGTCACAGCTACATCTGCTGGCCTGAATGGGAACATGAAAATGCTTAAAGTGAAGCCCTATAGCATCTTAGAAATCTTTTGGACTTAGTTTTTTGTTTATTCATCACTTCATATACAATATGTGTAATATACCAAATATTAATACAAATTTGTATTTTATACAGTGATCTATCTTTTATCAGAGGTTCCAAAAAGGAGAGCTAGTGGAAGCTACTTTATCAGCAGACCGAAGCAAATAAGTGCACCCAGACTTAAGATGGGATCCTCTCTCCACCCCACTGACCAGCCATGGGCCATGGTGCAGCCAGACTGCTTAGTATGGGTTCAGCAGTTATTATACTTTGAATTACAGTATTTTATCATCTGACTAGTGGGGTTCCTTGGCCTGGCCTGTGGGATCAGACTGAAACCAGCTCTCCAACATCCCCTGAGGGTCTCAGATTGCAAGAGGGCACAGGCCAGGCAGAGGGACCCCACTGGTGCATGCTCAGGGTAGGGGAGGAACATGGGGGTGGGCTCCAGGGTGTGTTTGGCCCGGTCTTGCTCAGTCCCAATCAGCTGAACCCCAACAGTAAGCTCACCTACTAGTTGGAGCGTCTGCCCCCTGGTGGTCAGTGCACATCATAGCGACTCGTCCCAACAGTAAAATTCAGGGCTGAGGTGACTAGTGGACTGTCTGCCCTCTGATGGTCAGTGCATGTCATAGTGAGCAGTTGAGCAGCCTTAGCATATCATTAACATGTTATACTTTGATTGGTTGAATGGATGACCAGACACTTAGCATATTAGGCTTTTATTATATAGGATTATGATTGAGGTAGCAGTGATTTTATCATAGTAATTTAATTGTGAAAAGAATGAACACTGATTATGGGTTCATAGTCCTAGTAGACTGGCATGTTGAGGCTCTGTGATAGGTTATTTTACCAGGACAGACATACTGAGCTTAGAGAATAGTTGAGATCAGTGCTCTTTAGCTAGTCAATAGGACCCTTAGTGATACCAATTGGTAATCCCCCCGTTATCAAAAGAAAAAGCCATACCATCTACGGTTAACTTGCTTGTTACTTAAGAACAAAGATTTGTTAGCTATTTTACTTTTTATTATAGTAGGTATTAATACTTGAAAGGAATAGTTGAGCTACTTATAGTTAGACTGTCTTATCTTTTTTTTGTTACCTTAGAAGGAAGAACAACAGGTATATAAACAACTCCCAATTGATACGATTGGAAGCTTTATGACTTCCATGGACCACTGTTTTAAATTTGTTGAAGTGAGGTTATAGCCTCCAAGTACTAGTCAGAATCACCCATTGCTAGTGTTTACTATGGTTTCTGTATACATATTTATGATAATCTGTGTAGTTAGAATTTACAGGTAATTTATAGTTTTCCCCCTCAAAACAGTAATAAAACTATGAATGGAAATGTTCTTAGTTATTGGGAAATGCTTTAAATTGTCCAGAGATTTAAATTTGAAAATTAACTTATAAACAAAAGGAGCTTTTTGGTTTGTTTACCCTTCTACCATGGGATAAGTATTTGTCTTTATACATTTTTATATATATGCATGTATACATATATATGTATTTATTTTTAAAGAAAAATACATTTGGACCTACCTTAAAATAAAAATGGCTTATTTTTTGGTAAAAATACATATTCAATATTTTTTTTAAAAAGAATTAATGTAGAAAAGTACAGGAAAGGACACAATAACTAGAAATCTCACTGAGTTGCAATAATCTGTTATAGTAGAAACATTATTTCAGACCTTCTTCTCTAGGCACATTCACATAATCGTACGTAAATGCTTTACTGTAATGCTCTGGAACCTTTTTTCATTGAATAGTCATAGGAACTCTCTGCACAGTTGAGTATATAAATCTCCATCACTTTTAATGGCTACATGGTACCATAATATGTATTATAATTTATTTAATCAGTCTGTTGCCAACAGTAGTTAGATTGTAATTTTTCACAATTAAACACCATAGTGAACCTCTATGGGCATATATCTCTTTTGTATTTTTCTTGGTCAAGAAATTTGTCTAAAGACAGAAGTTGCTATTGTTGAATCAAAGTGCATGTTAAGAATGTTTTTGATACAATTGAGAAGATATGAACAGTGCATACAAGTCTCCTTGCACTCTTGCCACTGGTGGCGTCTATGACTCTGAAATGTTTCCCAGTCTGATATCATCTTTCTTGCTTGACTGCATCCCTCCGAAGGCTCTGCCGCTGTAAAGGCTTCATGGACATAGTCTGTGACTGGGGCCCTTTCCCACTCGCCAGCCCCAGACTTGCCCCTCATCTGCCAAGACAGATCGCTTCTTTCTCAAAAGCCCAGGCCTCTTGTTCTTTAAAAAACAAAGAGTAAAACAGCTATAGTTTAAATATGTCTCTAAAAAATTGTCATTAGCTTTCCCATTCTAGAAAGATCCTTTAAGACAAGTAACACAAGACCTTTCCTCTAGGTCAGTAGTAGATGCTTGCAATAAAATTTATTTTCTCCAGTGCTCTTAGTAGCTGCTCCGAGGCATACTTGTTATGTTAATATTTAGGCTCACTTACTGATTACTTCATGACTAACGTGAGGATTTTGCTAGTTATAGTCAAAACTCTTTC